ATTATGCTGAATGAAAGTCAACATCAACGCCCAACATAGCTTTATCTTATCGTATTTGTTCTAACTCTTTCGACCAACCCTCTCTTTCTGCTTCAAACTCAGCTCTTAGGATTTCTATCTCTGACGGGACTACCCGAATGTGATCTTTCATAGAGATGTCCTCATTTTGGTCTGGTAGAGGAATATTTTCATTTTTCCTGACAGACCTCCATTCCTCATAATCAGGGGTTAACATTACTTTTGCTACTTTGGCTCGAATACAAAAAGTTGTTTTCCAAGCTTTAACGACATCCACGATGTTTCTTTTGTAATTTTTGCTATGAAATGCAAACTCAGATGAATGCAAACTCAGACGAATGTAACCCAACAGTAACATGAACAAATTGATGACCCTCGTACTGCCTTATAGCTAGAAGTGGTGCATATCCAATTCCTCCCCATAAACCGAGCAGCATCACCCAGTTGTAGTCACCACATTTGTAAAAGAACTCATTTTGTACTTGCCACGGGGCGTGCCAAATGATGTCGTTGCTTTGCAGATTTCAAAACGCATTTATCCACATGTCTTTCGTGACTTCTTTCGACCATTCTTGCTCCAAAAACTCTTTCAACGCTGAGTAGTCTGTACTAAAGTGACGGTATGAAACCTTTTTTGTCCTCCAAAAATGACTACGGATCCAGACATATAATAATTGTGCACATCCTAAAAATCGTCCACCTCCTAGTCTTCTACAAGCGCTTAATGATCGAAAGGTCTCGATTAAAATTGTAGAAGCATGATTAACCCTTTTTTGTAGATGTTCGAATAAATCTACTACTACCGCCTCAATGTATCCCAATGCTTTAGGGAAGATGACCATACCATATATACCCAGAGCAAAGAGATCAAATCGTACTTTATCATCTGGATGACTCTGAATGATTTCTTTGATGTTGACCCAAGAAATACCTTTGCCCTCGCCTTTTTGTTTCGTATGGGCCACTACCCATTCCTCTCGTACTCCTGTAATCTTTGCTAATTTAACTCGGAAAGGTTGAGTTTTGATTGACCTTGAATAAATTCGATTCTCCAAAGCCCCTTATATATGTAGCAAAGTTATATACCCTTCAATAGTAGGAACCAAGTCCTCCTTATTGAAAGTGATGTAATTATACCCTAGATTCCATAATTGAATCAGGGCTCGAAGCAATTCATCATCAATTTCGACATAGAGCAAATATGGGATATCCCCGTAACACAGATAGAACTGCATCTTTTTGTTTGAGTCCCAACTCTCCCAAATTCCTCGCAGATCTTGAATATCATTTCTTTTTAGAGAAACTGGAGCATAACTTGCTAACTCTGGTACAAAATCATTCTGCAGACTGTCTCCCCCTTATCTTTGTAAGTCTTCAGACCACTGTCTTACTTTTGAGTTTAGAACTATTTGATTTGAACACTTTTTATCCATAGATGAAGGTTTTCCAATGAGACGATTAACTCGAAGATCAATACCTTTAATCTTGTATGTTGTTATGTAGACAACAAAAATAAAAGAAAAACATAAAAAGAAATGAATTAGTTCAAATAATAAAGAAGGAAAAATTTAATTTAATATCTACACAAATATTTCTATTTAAACATGCTTTCTACATAGCATACTTTAAATAATACTATAATTTAAATTCACATGCAATTTATTCAGCAGTGAAGTAAATAAATTAAAAGGAAAAAAGTTAGAATTCATTTCTCCTTTGTGTACACCTATTTTGGACAAAATTTCAGCATGGTTTCAGATCGGAAGAGTTTCTAGGGTTTACTATATGTAGAGTTTCAGTTATAAGAGTAAAGGACTCGAATTGTCCTTGTTGATGCCCCTTGGGCTGTCAAACCCTCAATTCTAGTCCTCTATAGACTTAAGCGGATCGAGTTCAATTCGAGGGGACACATTTCTCTATGCCTGACATGGAGAATAAATTCTCATGAAGACATAGAGCATATGAACCCCGAAAGCTACTTGCTAGGTCTGACACAGAGAATAAATTATCACGAAGACGTCGCTTTCACTCTCACTTAAAAGGGACAAGCTTGATTATAAAACTTATGTTATGCAATGCAAGTGTTGTGTGTGAGGAGAAATTTCCAAACCTTTGACAAACAAATAAAAAATGAAATTTAATATCTAAAAATAAAATAAAAACATTAAAAAATATAATAAATATTATGAAAATCATAAGTAATAAAAATTTGAAAGAAAAGAATTATAAATTAAATAAATATGAATTTCTAATTTCTAATTGATAGAGGCAATTTATAATTAATTTCAAAGCTTGACGGTCCCCAGCGAACTCGCCAAGCTGTCGTAACCGGTTTTTGCCCGAGTACGAATTTTTACTTTGCGGGAAAAATAAATAAATGATTTTGATTTAAAAAATGTTTTGGGAGTCGCCATTGACCTTTTTGGGTTAGGTAGGTCAAATACCTAAAAACCAATCTTTTAAAATAGTTTTTAAGAAAATATAATTTAAAAGATAAATTGATCTGCGTATAACCAAAAAATTTTAAAAAAGGATTCGTGGTCGATTAAGTTTAGGGAAGGATTAGCACCCCTATAACGCCCAAAATTGGTACTCATTAATTATAAATTGTCTCTATTATTATATATTAAAATTTCAAATATATATTTAATTCATAATTTTGTGATTTCAAATTTATTACTATAATTTTAAGAAAAATATATTAACTTTTATAAATATATATATTTTTTATATTTTTATAAATAAGATATTTATTTACTTAGAAATATTAGAAAAAGACTTCTAGTTGCTTTAAGACAATCATTTTCTTAATATTAAAAAATAAATAAATATTAATAAAATATTTCTCTAAAAATAATTAAAATAAATTAAATTAATATATATAATTTAAAAATATAAGAAAATGACTTTTAGTTGCTTTAAGACAACCCTTTTCTTAATATTAAAAATAAATATTTAAAATATGTTAATTTATATAAAATTAAATTTATAAATAGGATTTTTATTTAATAAATAAAATAAATAAATAAATATTATTTATTATATATATTTATATGACTAAATTAAAATAATAAAAAATAATAATTTGAATTTGAATTAAACTTATTGAAATTTAAATAATAAATTAAATTAAAATATAAATAAATAGTGACTAAAATAAATAAAATTAAAACTATAGTATTAAAATAAATAAATGAAAGTAATGATTAAATTATAACATATTAAAATTAAATGCCCTAATTCGTAATTAGTTATTTAAAATTACAGTGGCTAAACATGATATTTGACCTATTATTAATTTAGTGACTAAAATAAATATATATCAAATTCGAATATCAAATTAAAATAAATTAAAACATGGTTTTCAGGATTAAAATATTAATTAATAAAGTTATAAGGGTTAAATCGGTTATTTACCTATATATATATATATATATATATATATATATATATATATATATATATATATATATATATATATATATATATATATATATATATATATATATATATATATATATATATATTATGTTAATGAATAGATTATGAATTAAATAAAATTAAGAGACCGAATTAAAAGGATCTAAATTTGATTTCAGTGACCAAAATATAAAATTACAGAACTACGGGTACTACGAAAAGGGTTTATCCGTGTTTTGGTGAGGGTATTTATACCCCCTTATAATCGGCCTTAAAGGCCAAATTTCTCATTTTCTCTTCCTCATTCTCTCTCTAAACCGAGAGAAGAAATTCTCTCTGTCTTCTCTCTAGGATTCCCTCACTGGAGGGAATCCGGTCGTCGGCCGGCAGCCATCTGCCTCCGTCAACTCCACGGAAAATACAAATTTTATACCAAAATTTAGATCGGACCGTCCTAATGAGGATTCCGATGACCTTTTCCCTTAAAAAGCTCCCAATCGGAGAAAATCTACGAAAATACCTTCGGTTTTCAAAGGCTTTTGGTGGCACGTGGAGGAGCGTGTGAACTCCGGTGGCGTCGCAGCTTTCTCGGTAAGGTTTCTCTCAATTTTTATCTCGGTATTTTAGTGGTATTTGGTTGTTGTGTTGCTTGTTGTTCTCTCTGTGTCTCTCTTTGCAGGTTCGATTGATGGCTTGATAGCCATCACCGGCGTTCGTCTCGGACCGGGTAAAAGGGTGGCAGTTTGGTGAGTCACCAAACTATGGTGGTGACTCACCCTATAACTTGAAACGTGGGAGGCTGGTGTTGATATCTACGGAGTCTTTAGTGGGCGTCGTGGCAATGAGTGTCGGCAGCGGTTGATGAGAGCAGAGGCGGTCTAGGGTATCATAACCCTAGGGTTTCTTGCTGGAGTCATCTGGACCGTTGGATCTTATAAGATCCAACGGCTGCTGCTTGTTGGCGGTTGAAACTGAGATACAAACCCTAAATGGGTTTAGGGTAATATTTGGGTCAGTCTGGGTATAAAACGGACCTCCGGGTATTGGGCTTTTGTAACTGGGCCGGTCTGGTTTTGGACCTGTAATGTAAATAATATATTTTTTTTATTATTAATAATAATAATAAATAATATAAATAATAAATAATAATATAAATAAAATAATACTAATAATATTAATATAATAATAATAATAATAATAATAATAATAATAACAAATGGATGAAAAAAAATTAGTATCTTCAAGGACAACGCAGCTAATTAGAGGTGCCTTTTCTGGCCCAGAAATAGATGTGCTTCTAGTTTCCATCTAATCAGTTTTTATTGGCCAATATCCCCAAATAACCCACATGATGCCATAGTGCCACCCCTTCCGCTGAAAAAAGTAAGATTGGAATTAACTGAAAAAAGTAGGTTTTTGTAGAATAAATCATCTGATAATACTTCTTTCTTATGAAGTTATTGATAGATGATCTCCTTTTCATTAAAATTGACGGTTTTCTAAACATGGGACTATAATTAGCATTATTATATTTATTGGATCAAAGTTTGATTTTCTTGCAGGCTCAGTTCTTCCTATTGAAGACATTGTGATTTGGGCTCATACAGTTGGAGCAAACGTGCTTGTAGATGCTTGTCAAAGTGTTCCTCACATGGTGGTTGGTGTCTAAGGTCTTGATGCTGACTTTCTCGTTTCTTCTTCTCACAAGGTTCGTCTGTGGCCTTATGTATGATATAAACTATATATGGACAAGTATACATAGTTAAGGAATAAACATGCTTCAGATGTGTGGGCCTACAGGCATTGGATTCTTATTTGGAAAGAGCAATCTCTTGTTAGCCATGCCTCCATTCTTTGGGTATGCATATACTTTCTTTTCCATTTATATTCAGTTCTTATCTGTAAGTGTAACGACTCTGTGTATCTAAATATATGGGAATAGAGTCATGGAAGCAGTGTAAAGCTGATCCTGCATGTTTTTTTCTCTTTTTAGGTGGTGGAGAAATGATCTCTGATATTTTTAGATCATTCAACATATGCAGAAGCCCCGTCCAGGTTAGTGATCTATTTCTCGTTCTTAAAAGTATGTTTTTATAAAGAGTTCAAGGATGAGATGGACCTTAGAGGTTTTTAATTTGTTTGAGTTGTGTATGTGCGATTAAGTTGGATTTTTGAATAGCAGAATTTAAGTACAAGGTATGAGTTTTTAGTCTCATTTTAAACTGCCCGGTTTTTTTTCTCTACTTTCCACATTGTAATGAACCCTATAGGTTGCTCCAACTGGTAAGATCCCATTATGGTGGGAGAACTGTACATGTAACTTTAAAGAGATAAAGGATTATGAGCTTACCATATTATCAAGAGACTAACGTAATACAACATATATATGATTGCTCAAAGTTGAATAACTAAAATATGGAGTATTCTCAGTTTTGTAAATGACTGCCAATTTATCTTGACCTATGAACAATTTTTTAAAATTCCAGTTGTAGACTCTCGATTTTTTCCAGATCGAAAAAATATTATTAATTAATTAATTTATTATTATTATTATTATTAATACATCTATTATATTTTGCAAGACAAAGCCCAATACAACATGAGGCCCAACTGAGACCCACCAGCACCCATAAATCCAAACCCATATTACATCAACCAAACCCAAACCGGCCCAACAAACCAAGATCCGACCTAACTTGAAACCCTAAACAGATTAGGGTTTTCAAGCCATCGAGCCAACCATCGCCTCTTGGCTTTCCAACTCCCAGTCGCGCGTGGACTTCACCGCTCAGCTCCCACCGACGCGTGAGCTGCCGCCAAGCCGCCGCCGAACGTTTCACGAGCCTTTCACATCATCCACAGTAACACACATTCATCAAACACCAAAAAGCGGTCAGGAAAATAGAGAAAAAATAAGAAAAAATCATAAACAAGTACAAGATATACCGAGGCATATCAACCTATCTCACCGATGGCAGAAAGAGGACTAAAAGTCCATCAGTCACAAATCACACAGGGGAGATAAAAAGAAAGAGAGAAGAGAAGACAGTGGGAACCATTCGGGTTTGAACAAGGAGAGAGAGAGAAAATATCAAGAGATTCGGGGGGAAACCGAAAGAAGAAAAACAGTGAGAGATTTTTAAAACACAAAAAAAACACAAAAAAACCAAGAAGAACCGAAAGAAAAAGAAAGGGAAAGGAAAGAAATACTTGGCTTTGGAGATTCCAAAGGTTGACAGAGCAGTCTTTTCGAAAGGTAATCGTTAGATCTAGGGTGTTTGGGTCATTTTTAGGTTGAGTTGGTTCGGCATATAGGCTGAGGGTGACGAGAGGGACCTTTGGGGAGAGTTTTATCTTTCCGGCCACCGTCGGCCGCCTTGAGTGCCGCCATGGGCGCCACCGACGACGACGGTTGATACCCTCGCCGATGAGAGAGTTCCCTCTCACTCTCTCTCTCTGGTTTTTCTAAAATAAAGAGAAATGATGGAGATGAAAAAAAATTAAGCCTTGGGTTGGGTTTAAATACCCACACGAAACGGTGCCATTTTGGCACCCCTATTTTTTGTTTTTTCAATTCGAGGATAACTACACTTTAGGTCCCCTTGCCTTGTAATATCCTATTGAAGTCGTTTAATAAAGTTTCACTTTATTCAATTTCGAGCACTTATGTTTCAATTCTTATATTTTAGTCATGTTCTTACATATTGTGTATTTGTGTTAATATTTGATTTTGGTCATGACATTTGTAAATCTTTTGTTTTAGTCACTACTCAGTATTTGGTTCAATTATTGTTTAGTCCTTTATGTTTCTGGTTCATTTCATTTAAGTCCCAAATGTTATTAATGGGTTATTTACATTTTCAGCACCTATATTGTTTAATATATTCTATATTAGATATGGTTTATTTATATTTGTAGTTCATCCCTTTAACTTTTTGTTTTTTCTATTTTAATCCCTTAATTTTCTATTTTTGCTATTTTAATCCTTTAAATTTCTATTTTAGCTATTTTAGCCCTTCAAGTTTGGTTAAATATCATTTTGGTCCCCTAAATTATCCTATGTGCTTATTTTGTTTGTATTTTGGGTTGTAATGTTTACTTATTTTTATTTTAGTCATTTATGTATGAATATTTTACATATAATGTAGTTATTTGTATATATATATATATATATTATTGGTTCTATTTATTGTATATGTTTTATTTCGTATTTTTCAATTCGTGTTTGTTTCCGGGGTTTTTTTTATTTATTTATTAATATTATCTGAATTGATCAAGAACACGTATGCATAGAATGAGCGTGAAAAATATTACTTGATCGACGTGGTACAATCCGATACGACGTTCGAACGAAATGAGACTTGAAATAAATCTAGTTTATTTTATTATTTAAATATTTTATGTGGATGATTCAATGTGTTTTTATTAATTTATCATTTACAAAATGTCAATTTTTAATTTATATTCGATTCGCGTTTTATCGAAGAAGGAATATTCTTGACTGATAAGAAATAGTCGAGATAATTTTCCCGATGGATGATTGCTAATCTCGAGATCTCTTTTCAAGTTAAAGAATTTTCTTTAATTAATAATTCAAAACAAATTAATTAAATTTCAATAAATGGATCATAATTTAACTTTATATTCGATTTATGATTTCCACCATTTACGACGATATGTAAGCGACATTGTACCAATTTTGGGCATTGTCAGAGTGTTAATCATTCCCCACACGTAATCGACTCCCGAACCCGTTTTAATCGAATCTTGTAAACGCAAACCAACTTTTTGTCTTAAAAATGATTTTTCTTAAAATTATTTTTAAAAGACGTTTTTAGGTATTCGACCTACCTAACCCAAAGGTCGATGACGACTCTTTTTCAATTTAATCCAAATTAATTCCAAATCACCAAATTTTCAAATAAAAGTCATAATCATTTTTAAAACAATATTTAATTGTTTTACAAAAAAATGGTTATGACAGCTTGGCGACTCCATTGGGGACCTTTTTTTTAAAGAGTCATGTTATATGTCGCTTACATATTGTCGTTGTGGTGGAAATTATAAGTTCAAGTCTTTAGTTAACTTATGATCCATTTATTAAAGTTTTAATTTCTTCATTTTTTAATTGCCGTACTAATATTTTAATTTTTGCTTTCAGCTCAGTCCAAGTTTTTGTCGAGTTTTTTCATTTCTATTTTTTTTAGTCAAAAGTAGGTACGTTCCTCCTCACACACATCACGTGCATTTGCATAACATGAGCTTTAGACACGAGCTTCGATCCAAGTAAGTCGGGTGAATACTTTACTCTCGTAAGAATTTATTCTTCATATGAGTTTTAGCAAATAACCCACAGTATACATACATTATACCTTCGTAGGGATTTATTCCTCGTATGGGTATAAGGCAATGAATCCCCTCGAATTGAACTCGTCGTTCGAAACTTGTAATAGGTGAGGATCGAGGGTTTGGCAGTCCAAGGGGACACCGACATCAAGGACAATTTGAGTATCATTTCCCGTTAAAGCCGAAACCATGCATATAGTGAACCGTAGAACGGTTACCCTAGCTATAGTCATACCGAACCTCTGTCCGTCAGTAGGTACCTAAAATAGGTATACATAAAGGAGGAACATTTCTGAACCTTTCCTTTTTGCTTTAAATTCTGTTAAATAAAAGCATGCGAACTAGATACCATGCGGTTAGGATTAATTGCTTGAAAAATCATTTTGGGTAGATAGCATGTCCGGGTAGGAATGTTATTTAATTAAAGCATGTTCAGGTAGATATCATGACGGGGTAGGTGTTATAATCATCTTTGAATAACATTTTTATCTGTATCGATTGTCTCGCATGTACTAACTAATTTATTGTTTTTTTTGTACACTAACTTATTTCTTTTGTTTGTGTCATTTTTCATCCTTCTTTGCATCGTATTTCATAAACATAACATAATGCGAAAGTGTTTATCCGCAAAGGAATATTCGATAGAAAATTTTCACAAGAAAAGGTGAAAGTTTTCAATCAAGTAGTCGCATACACAGACATACACCGAAGGTTAAGAGAAGTTCAGAGCACAAAAATGAGACTTTCTCGAAGATCGTGCACATTCCAGAATGTAATGATGATCTATTGATCCTAGGAGTAATACAACAATAGATTCTTATCTAAGATCATTCCAACGCTAACCACCAAGGAGTGACGCACAGACTTCAGCACTGCAGGGGCAGTAATAGGATTAGGTTTAACACTTGAGGGGCATCATTTTCAATGACGAAGATCCGAGACGAAGCAGTGATCCACTTCAAACTCAACATCTAAGGGAAGGCATGTCTGTAAAGTGGATTGTCTTATAATGTGAAGGCTTTTATCTTTGGTGAAAATTGTTGAACAATATTCATCATTGGGATCAATATTTTTGCATATGCATTTGCATCTTTGCATTTTGCATATGTATTTCATTTTTAAGCATTTTCATAAAAACATGGAGCTAATTCATGGAGGATTTGAGGAAGTGGTCATAATGTCATGACACCACATTGAGAATCAAAGCAAAGTTCAAACAATTAAAAGAATAAGTTGAAATCAGTACGATGGAAGTTTGTTCGGTTGGTTGTAGGGTTAAGCCTTCCAGGATGATCTGAGAAAAGAGTTCCCACATAGAAAGCTCCAGACATTCCACTGAAAACTGTAAGGCATTAAAGCACAAGATTCAGAACCTGATGGATTCAGGGGCATAGACAATCGAAGAAAGATGGGGGCATTGCATCTACCATGTGCATTGAGAGCATTGTTTTGTTTGATCTCGTTTTTGTTCTATCTTTCATATTTGCTTAATCTTTAATGATTGAACTT